AAAATTAATTTGTCACTTTCTGTTGCATGTTATTTTGTCATGATACTCTGAGGGGGAAAACAATCTCAGAGAGACACAGTGTTCCAGAAATAAAATGACTGATGTCACTCACTCACTCACTCACTCACTCACTCACTCATAGGAATGGGAACGAGGCACGGTCGGAACCACATGACAGTGACTGAATGTCAGCTTTCCACCTGTGTCTTCCTTCCACACTGTGAGTACATGTGAGTCAGAAGGATGGAGACAGAGAAGTGAAATAACTGCACAGCCCTTGGGAGGACTACCTCTGTGGCCTGGGAGCATAACACAGCCCTTGGGAAGACTACCTCTGTGACCTGAGAATACAACACCACCCTTGGGAGGACTAACTCTGTGGCCTAGGATCACAATACAACCTTTGGGAGGATTACCTCTGTGACCTGGGAGCACAACACAACCCTTGGGAGGACTACTTCTGTAACCTGGGATCAGATCCAGCTTGAGTGGTGAAGGGCTGTAGAGAATGTACTGTCAAGAACTGACACTGCTTAAATCAGAACATGTTGCTTATTAGTCTTCGGAGTCTAATACAGTGAACCCCACCATAATGTTCTAGGGTAGGAGGAAGAATTTTTGCTGAGATCAGGCAACCCATGTCCATGAATAAGCATCAGTTATTTTTTTTAATCACCCACTTAAAAAAATCACTAAGCCTCAAGTCACTTTCATGTCTCGCTCTATGCCACAGGAAGCCTACTTCAGAAGGACCCATCTCAAGATGGAATCTGAGACTCAAAGTAGGAGCTTAGGCAATGTTTCACTGTTTAACTCTACATTAACTGTGTAGACAGCTGAGTCCTATCAAAGCAAACATCTCAGGACTACCAAGTGACTATGAAGAAATGAGGGGACAATAAGCCAGGGGTAATGACTCCGCTCATGCCGTTACTAAGATACTTGGGAAATAGGTCACTTTACCACAGAGTTTGTGGGAGGGTGGTGCTGGCGCATAGCCATCCCTGACTCCCACTTTCCCTAACCAATGGGTCCTCCTGCAGAACCATGTTAATGAATCCAGTTGCATAAAGACCCCAGACGATGAAGAACAGCAGTCTAATGCCAGAAGCCACCATCTGAACCCAGAGAAGACCACATCCCTAGCATGAAGAGGACTGGTTAGAAGAGCAGTGTGGCCTGCCCCACATGTGGTCCTAATGCTGGACTTCCTTCTTGGTGGTGTTGGATGTGTTTCCAGCTTAAGCTTGGCTTAAGCGAGGCTTGCCAGAAAACCTGATGCAAGTCTTTGAGCCCCAGGGAATCTTAATGGTTCTATTTGCTAATGGAAGTGGGGTGCATACAATGAGAAAAGGAGGTTAGTCAGCTTCAGGTGCCCAGCCACCTTTGTGCTAAAGCCATATGCAGGGGCACAGCAGACAGAGCAGGACAGCGAGCTACTTCAATTCTTCTGGAAGGGCGCTAATCCTATCATGGGGCCCCACTGTTAGGATCTCATCCAAATCTGATGTCCTCCCAAGAGCCTTCACTCCTAGGATCATTCTATTTAGTGTTAGATCTGTACTATGGGTCTTATGGGGAACTCAAACATCCAGGCTGTAGGGATAGTCCCTGAAAGGATGCCCTCCACCAAATCACTGGCAACTGTGCTGCCCACCCGGGACCTGTTCTTTTCAAGGGTGTTTTAATGGTTGCTCTCTGTCTTTGCACTGCTCCTGCCAAATGGCAAGGCAAACCTAGCACTGAAGAGATTTTAAAATGTTTTACTATGGGTTTTTTGGTTGCTATGACCTAACAGTGTACCACCTGAAAGGGACATGGGTTTGGGCTGACCTTCAGTGTTCATATCAAGAGATGTTGAGGCAAGATGTGGGTGGACAAGGCAGGTAATGTGTTAAAGGACACGCCTCAGTCCCCATGAATCACAGCATGACATGGCATGTCATCATGTGACAAGCCCCCTATCTGTAATCTCTTCAATGGGAATGAAAATATCAGAGCAGGAGAAAGAGCTGAATCACTTCCAGAGATTAATTCAAGGCCCACTCCTTACCCACCAAACTACCCTCCAATATATGAAGGAATTGAATTTCAAGACACGTGCCATCTTCTGGGAATTCGTTTATCAAGCTCCAGAGTTGGCAGACTAGCTATATCGATGTTGTGAGGGATTTCTCAATGATATGTTCCAATTTACATCTCAGTGTCCCCAGTGCCACAATGAGGTCATCCCTGGGAAGAAAATGCCACTGCTGGGCCAAGCTCTGTGCTGGCCAATCTCATTTGCAAGGCTCTGTACAGAATCTGTAAGGCCCAGAGAGCATGCTGCCCCCTCCTCTCACCTGGGGTGCCTGGCAGTAGTCAGCATAGATGCAACCTGGGAAGGTTCTGGGCATCAGGAACCTGGCCAGGAAACCTTTTATCTGAGCCCCCCTTTTTTGTAAACCTTTTATAGTATTACTTAAATTTAATTTCAGAAGAGAGCTACTCAATTTCAATGACACAAATGGATACTGTACCATTAAAAACTAAAATAAAATATGCCCTAGACATATTAGTTTTTACTTTCCAACTTGAGCTATTATCTTCCACTAGAATTTTATTATAAAAATTTTCAGACATGAGGAAAATTACTTTTTGTGAATACTTACATCCTTCCTCTTAAATTTTACAATTAAAATTTTCTAAACTTACTTTATTTTATACACACACACACACACACACACACACACACACATATATATTCCTCTCCAAATACTATAATTTTTATGTCATTGTTGAGTATTCTTGTAGTTCTTTTCCTTCTGATATAAAATTCATAGGCCATGTAACGTAAAGATATGACTAATTTGAACAAGCCAGTATCCATGCAGTGACTGCATGTGTAGACACCTACGTTCCTCAGCCTGATCAGGAGACAGTGGTATACAGCCTTCTTGTCCCAGCTGTAGTGGCTTGAATGAGGATGTCTCCCATAGGACACTTGACCCCTGGCGTGTGGTGCTGTTTGGGAAGGTTAAGAGATGTGATCTTGTTGGAAGCATAACACTGTGAGAAGGCTTTGCAATCCGACTTACAGGCTCTTCCCAACTCCTGTTCACTGTCTCTGCCATGTACGTGTGGTTTAACATGTGAGCTTCCTGCTCGTGCCACCATGCCTGCCACATGCTGCCATGCTCAGTCACTCTGGATGGACCCTTTGGGGCCATCAGTCCAAATAGATTCTTTCTTCTATAAGTTGTCTTGGCCATAAGTAATGAATATACTAACCCTCAGTAAGATATCTCTCTCTCTCTCTCTCTCTCTCTCTCTCTCTCTCTCTCTCTCTCTCTCTCACACACACACACACACACACACACACATACACACACATACCACCAGTACATACAGAATGTTGGCACCACCAGAAGTTTCCCTCATATCCCTTCAGAAATCATTCCCCCATCTCTACCTATTCACACCCAAGTACTGATTTTTTTTTTTAACTTTTGGCTATTGATCTGTTTTACCAGGCTGAAAATTTAACGGACCCATTTGGCATGAACTCCGGTGCATAACACTTGTCTCATCCAGTATGATGTTACTGATATTCATCTAAACTGCTGTGTATGTCAGGAATCCCTTTGTTTTCATTACTGGGTGCTATTCCACTATGTGTACATCTCAGTGTGTACACTCGTTTTGTATCCAACTGTCATCCCAGGCTTCCGAGTTCTACCAACTGTGGGAAAAGCTGCTGATGACAATTTCAGGCAGATCTCCTTAGAGATATGCCGCAGTTTTCCTTTGGTGAGTACTCAGGAGTGAACCTGCTGATCTTGGTAGGTGTGAGTGCTTCTTTCACACTCTCGCCAGCTGTGTGGGAGCATCCTGTTTTGCTACACATGCTCACTTGGTACCAACTCTGTTTCTAATTTTAACTCTTCTAGTGGGTGTAGAGTTATTAGGCTTCTATTTTGGCAAATTTTCCAAACTAGCAAAAAAATAAATATGTGTAAGGCTCAAGTTTGAAGGAAATACTGCTGGAGGAGACTGGCCTAGGTGGTGCTTAAAGGGTTACTTATCTGAATCTGGGCTGTGCGGATAAGCTCTGGTGATGGGATGTAAAGCGGATACCCAGACACAGCCTTCATGCAATTCTCTCTCCTAGGTTATGAGACAATGAAGGTAACACCTAGGAGACTCCAGGCTGCTGCAGTGGGGCAGGAGCTTTGTCTTCTGAAGGGAGGACCACAAGCTCTTCCCCTATCTGCCTCTAGGAGGGCCATTCCCAGACAGCTGCTGGCTCAGCCTACTCCATGGAGTCACAGATTTCCCAGAACAGAGATGCCTGGTCTTCCCTGTCTCTAACATCAACTCCTGGGCCCCATAGAAAGAAGTTAATGTTTTTGAACATCAACTAAGACCTTTTGGGGAAATTTGTATATTTTTCCTTTAGATTGTCAGAACAATATCCCTGTCAATCAAGTATGAACAATCTCATGTTAAAGACATGAAACGAAGACTCACAGAACTCCAGTAACTTTCCCCTGGACAGATGGACACACGTGCAGGCACACAGCATCCTGAACCTGACTCTGCACCCTAGGCTCTACCTTGACGAGCACCCGCAAAGCAAATCACTGGGGCTGAACAGTCCCTTGGGACCTGGAACTTGTAGTGGTAGTAAGCACTGTGTGCCTCACTAATGAGTCTGTCTCCCTCTCTTTCCTGCAGCCCACTTCCTCCTGTAATGAAGACAGGACTGGTTCTTTCCCTCGATGAACATGATCAGTCCTTCAGGGGCCTCCAATGGAAATGATCTTAGCCGGCCTCTCTGGAGCTCTGCTCTAGCCTCAGGGCTTTCCTCTTGCAGAAAGCAACCACCAGCTGCCAGTCTCCTGCTGCTGCTCCTTGCTGTCTAGGTGCCTCTCTGCCTGCTCAGTGCTCTCTGGTCTCCCTCTTCATTCCCCTCTCAGTATGAGGCTGCTGGCAACCAGTGTCTCTCTAGTCTGAGTTACCTGCTCCTGAAATGCACCAGCCTGTTCCTCAAATCCCGCTGTTCGGAAATAGTTGACAACGTCCATCACGGCCCAGTCTGCGGGGTCGGGAGGCCTCCCATTTTCCATGGACCTGCAAAATACAAATGCAGTCAGAGTGTGGCATGTATGCAGGTATGCACAGGCTCACTGCCTTGCCTCCCAGGGCTGGTCTGAGCCAGCTCACTAGGAGCCTGGTGCTCCTCTCCCTCGGAGTCTATCCCAGTCTAGCCACAGAAGGACTCATGATGTTTCTCATGATCCCTACTCACGCCGGTGCAGCCAATGCTTTCTTAGTGAAGTGCTTGACCTTGAATGACAATGATTACCACAAATACCGTTTCTCTACTCATTTTTGATGGGCTGTAGCTTAATATGTCTATTGTAATTTCTGTAGGAATGTTCACTGTACAATGGGACTCAGGAAGCCATTCCTTTAGACAGCCTCTCTGCTGCATTCTGCCCCTCCCCTTGTGACGCTCTCTCAACCTGACGGAACCTCACCATTCCTACCTATTCAAGGGTCACCTCTGCACTAAGGTACTCCCTGGCACTGCTAGGAAATCACTTGTTATAATCTGCTCTGAGACTCAATACTCCATTCAAATTACCACCATAGTACCTACCTGTCATACCGGGGTTAACACTGTTCTCAAGACTCAAGTGAGGGATGTGGACCAAAGATACACATGTGAACCTGGGCTGGTTCCCCTGTATTATTCCGAGCGTCAAGCATGTACTTAAGGAAGTCAGTCAACGTTGTTCAGAATGAATTACAGCGACTAGGTAGATGGGATCAGGCTCAGGTAACCCTTCTCAGTGGTTCAGAGAGGAGGGAATAAAGGACAGTGGGGGAAAAAAGCAGCGGTGCAGCGTCTGGGATGGTCTCATTTCAGACTCATTTCAGGTGGTCACACACACACACACAGAGAGAGAGAGAGAGAGAGAGAGAGAGAGAGAGAGAGAGAGAGAGAGCGCTCCTCTAGTGAATGCTAATACACTAGCGTTCATTTTGATATGATACTCCCTTAAGCATGTTATAGATCCACCCTGAAACAACTGAATGGAGGTGTGAACAATGCAAAGCCAGGGGAATGTGATGCTCTCATGTCTGGTATTTGATAAAGAAAACTGGTACCAGGAAACAGAGTAGTTGCTACAATTGTACTTGTCCATTTGAATTAGAAAAACTAGGAATTTGTTGGTGGGAAGAACTAGAAAACAAGTGAAGGTAAAGGCTGGAGGGGCTCTACAATGTTCTAAGCAAAGTCTGATGGAGAACCAGAAAAGCAGAGAGCTAAGAAAACTTAAGACAGTGAATGCCTGGCCATAAGGTCACAGGGTGAGAACTATAACAGAATCGGATTAACGGCCTTCAGGTTATATTCTGGCAATGAGTTTGTCTGCATCTTGTTTGTGCCTTGAGACTGGGATGCTGAGGTTAAAGGGAGTGCATTAGTTAATCCACAAGAGGATTTTACAGTTGCTTGGCATCAATGCTCAACACTGTCATAAGGCTACGACTTACTAGAAGAGCCAAAGTGAAGACTGGGAGCAAAAGCAGAGTGGATCGATTGGAAATACGTGTAGTCTGTCTAGAAAGAGTGTGTTCAACGTGGAGAGCAAAGAATTGTAGTTTGTAGAGATTGGCCACTAAAAAGAAGCCAAGTACTTTGTCCTAGGCATAAGAACAAAGCCTTCAGGACACTTCATGAAAAAGCAAGACTCTTACTCATTTTATGGTCACATTATAGGGTGCAAAAATGTAAATTCATCTGACAGACTTTCCCTGGAGAAGAGACTATCTCTAGGACATCCTACTTGTAGTTTATTTAGTGAAGAGTTTCCCAAGATCCAGCCACTCAAAAGTCACAGCCCAAGAGACCTGGATGCTTCTTGAACTGGAAGCCAACCCTGGCTTGGCAGGCATATGGAATGTAACATTCTAGAATCCCAGAGCCTTCTGGAGAGCAGGAAGTGTGTAGCTGCATTGGACTCCCTGGGGACAGCTCCTGAGAGGGAAATGCATAAAACTATGAGAGTAAATCTGAAGATGCAAGGGAGACCTAGGAAGTGTCCGAACGTCTCCAGTAAACATGAATGTCTGCCGGGAAGACAGGCAGGCAGTGAGTGGTACAAGCTTAAGGGATGAGCCATATGGCCTGAACTGGCAAGACCGCAGGGCAGGGCTGCTCTTTGGATCCTATATCTTTCCACCCTCACTAAACTACAGACTTCATATTTGTCCTGCTGGGCTTTGGGCTTACTTTGGTTTCATTCACCTCTACTCTGCAAATATGTCATTAAAAAAAAATAACTAAGAATGATTCCTGGGTAATTGTGCATTGTAAAAACATAATTTCTAAGTTGTGTTCACAGGGGCTCACAGGTAAGGGTTGCAGCCCATCTCAGTGGAGACTTTGGGCTTAAACTTTTGAACCGTGTTGAAACCGTTAAGAATAAGGGTCTTCTTGGCGTTTGACTGGGTGCAGCTTGGGTTATGAGAAGGCTGAGAGTCTCTGGGAATCAGAGGACAGTGCTGAGGTTTGACATGGAGCAACCGCTGAACTAATCCACTGATGGAGGCATAATTTGATGACATGATTGGCAGGTGATCTGTTAAGGGGTGGGGCCCAGCGGGAGGAAGTAGGTCACTAGGGGGCGTGTCACAGAGAGTTAAATCTCACCCTACACTCTATCTCTACTCAGCCACCATGAGTTGGCTGTCTTTACTGTTGGGCACCATTGTACCACCATGATGCTCTGTCCTTCTTCCTGGAGACCGTTGACTATGACTAAAGCCCCTGAGATACATGAGCCCAAATAAACTCTGCTTCCTTTTAAGTTTACATTTCTCAGGTATTTGACACACAAATAAAAGGCTGGCCAAGGACTCTGTGGATAAACATAATCTGTATGAACTCTACAACACTTTTTTTTTAAACCATTATATCTCTTTCAATTTAGGAGAGAAAAGAAGCTTCAGATCCTGGCTAATGATTATGGCACTCTGTCTGCCACACCACTCTTTCCATAAGACTCTTTCTAAATGGTACTTATTTTTACACTCAAAAATGTACTCTAATTTTGTACTGCCTTTATTTTTATGACTTATTTTTAAATCAAATTATGCTACTCCTTGCCCATGCTTTAAAATAGCCTTTGGCTAAAAGTAATTTAACTCCAATTATGATAAATTAATGTTGATCTCTTTGCTTATGAAAAAAAAAAAACCCAAGTACTCAGCAATTAAACAGGATTTCACTTTCTCTCCATTTCCCCGCCCCCCTCTCCCATCAGAGCAACAAGCTGAGATCTGGCTAAAGGCTGACCCAGAAAAAGGAAGGAACGGTTCAAAGGTTCTTGACGGGATATTTTTCATTTAAAAATATTCAGATAAATGAGGGTTGAGTGTGTTTAGCTGTAGCATACCCAAGGGATGAGATTTCTGGGAAGCAAATAGCCCATCAAGTGCTCTGTGTGTTGTGAGGCTTAAAGCTGAGCCTTCAGAGAGCTGATTTAAATACAGCTTTGGTTTGAATCGAATCAAATGGACACCAGCCTCACCTCCTCCTTGACTACCATGTTGCTTATGCCACGCAAGTCTTCCTCTCTGTTTTAACTTCTAGACATTAAGGGTGCTACTCCCTTGTTTTTAAAGTAGCAGTTAAATGTCCCCCTCTGAATACTGCCAGAAAATGTTTCATTCCAATTATTAATTAATAAACTTTTAACAGGTCTATGCTGAGACAGACACTTGATAAACACTGGAACCCACAGCTCCGTGGAAAGGACACTAGCAAGGCAGTATTTTTGGAGTGCTGGGTGTGTGGTCACGCCTTTTCCAACTGTGAATTACATGAAATACAAATGTAGATCTAAGAAGAAAATCTGTGTTCAACCTGAGATACACAGAAATTGAATTGAAACTACACAATAGATTTATAAAACATGGCAAAAAATGTGAAAGATCCCAATAATGTTATAAGATCTTAAAGTAACATTTTTGATAGTTAAATACATTACTGAAATTTCTTTCATTGTTTCACAAATGACCTAGAGAAGCTTTTAAATTACCTAATTGCTACAGAATATATATATCTCCCCCTACTCCTTTATAATGACCGGTATTTTCATATTAAATATTTACCAAATGGATGAGTTTGTGACTATGACTTGATTTGCATTGTCTTTGTCACTTTCAGTACTGAGTGTGATGGTTTATATATGTTTGGCCCAAGGAGTGGCACTTTTAGTAGGTGTGGCCTTGTTGGAGTAGGTGTGGCCTTGTTGGAGGAAGTGTGTCACTGTGGGTGTGGGCTTTAAGACCCTCATTCTAGCTGCCTGGAAGCCAGTCTTCCACTAGTTGGCTTCAGATGAAGATGTAGAACTCTAGGTTCTCCTGTACCATGCCTGTCTGGATGCTGCTGTGCTCCTGCCTTGATGATAATGGACTGAACCTCTGACCCTGTAAGCCAGCCACAATTAAATATGGTCTTTATAAGAGTTGCCTTGGTCATGGTGTCTGTTCACAGCAGTAGAACCCTAACTAAGACACGAGTGTCTCCTCACATGCTAACTAGCCCTTTCAATATACCTCCTGTGGAGTCTCTTGCCCTTCAGAAAGCATTCAGTGGAATCAAAGCTTGGTTGTTGGTTGCCAACATCTTACTAATGTGGACGAAAAAGAACCAAAACAATTTTAACAAGGAACGGTATTAGAAACCCAAGGTTTGTAGCTCAAGTCTGGGGGATTTTAGTGTGACCCAATGAAAGAAGCAAGCAGGAAGAGTATTCCTCTGTAGTGTTTATTTAAAATTGTTGAGGTATCACATGAAAATATGTAAAATGGTACCACACATGCCATATAGTGAATATGCATGCTGAAAATGCCTTAGACAGATCAAGTATATGTTTTAGTATGTGTCCTTTCCCTTTTAGGAGAATAAGCTTGAAAAAGCAAGACCTAAAGTTGGAGTTTCCATCTTCCTTTGATTCTCTTATAGTCACAACATAGAACCAGGTTCAACTTTGAGACAAGTCTGCTCCAAAATGCCTACAACCAGACTCCCTACAACCAGACTCCCTCCAGCT